CAGTTCTAAGCTTAAGACAATAACAAGCACATGTCTTGATGCATGCTCAATCATCCAGTGTTGCTCCCAATGAAAATGATACATCCAGATGAACAGAATCAACTTTTTGGGATTAACAAATACATTTTCAATATATAACAAAAACTTTTTTTTATTTTGTTTTTCTGTCATTTGAAGTTTATAACTGATGATATATCTGTTCTCCAACTCTATACATCTTTCCTTCCCCAGCACCAATTTGCCCACGGTATAGTCACTATACCACTTGTGTCCCTGCATGTAGTCCAACCTGTTTTTTCTTGAATGGCCCACCACATTGTAGTGACAATGAGGTTTGTGTTCCTGGATGTGTGTGCGATGATGGCTTTGTCATGAAAATGAAGATTTGTGTGCCTCTGGAACAATGTGGCTGTGTGGACAAGAATGGCACCAAACACCAAGTAAGACAAATTGACAATATGGACAATTTTGAAAATGAGCTTGTGGTCATGTGGTATGTTGACTGTCTGTGTCTTTTCAGTTCAATGAACAGTGGTACACAGATCACTGCAGTCAGAAATGTGAATGTGAGAAGGATGACGGAATAGGAAAGATTGACTGTGATGATGAAGATGAATGTGATGGAAATGCTGTCTGCCTTCAAAATGAAAAGGGCAATTATTACTGCCAGTCTACAGGTAGTCTACATGCCTGCAATGTACCTAAACTATGCTTTTGTTCCTATTTATTTAACTGCTCTTCTTGTTCCCGACAGACTTCGATGAGTGTACGATCAAGAAGGACCCTGAATATAAAACATTTGATAAAATGAAGCATGACTTTGAGGGTGAACACTCTTACGTGCTGGTGAGGACCAGCAACTTGCCAAGCAACCTTCCAGACATCTACATTGAAAGCATCAACATGCCCGTCTTAGATCAGGGCGGTGATAGTCAGCATGAAAATGACAGCAGCAGTGAAGAAGAGCAGAAGAGCAGGGAAGGTGATGATGATGACGATGACAGCAAAGAACATGACGAGCACCACAGATTACAAGAGCTTAAGATCAGAGTGTACAATCACACTCTGGAGTTCAAGAAGAATCGGAAACTGATCGTATGTATTAACACATTGACTTCTTAGCATTTTACTGTGGCACAGTGTGATGCTACCTACACACAGACATTTGTAAAATCAGTCTGGGAAATAACTAGCTCCTCTTCCCATTTCTCTTCAAGGTGTTACAACTGTAGCGAGGGAGAGGATGTTATATGTGCTAAATTATGCTGTGTGATAGCGCATTTCTTTTCACTTTAACATTTGTAGGTATAAGACAGAGGAAGAGAGACAATGTGTAAAAAACAGTAATGGCAATATTCCATGTTTATCCGGTGCCTAGATGTTATTGTGTCTGTGTGCGAGTAATATAATCCTATGAATCTCAATTTGCAAGGGTACGGAACTAAAACTAAGCAAGTATAAGACTGTAAGCGTTATAATGTACTTTGCTTGTGATTGTATCACACTAGCATGCTAACATTAGCTATTACGCACTGAAAGCTAATAGACTCTCAATAACTTGTACGTATTTGATAATATAGGAAAGACTTCAGCTAATACTCAAGCTTTCCACAACAAAAATGTATGTTTCTCTTCATACAACAAACATAATCATACAGGAATGAACAGCAGAATTGACATCTACATATACTTCAGTTATCTTAAATTACACTGAGAGATTTTTTTCCCTCTTCAGGTGGATGGAAAACCTACGGAAATGCCCGTCTCAGTGACTGGTGGTCTAAAGATCTGGAAGCGTTCCTCTCATATCTACCTACAAACTGATTTTGGCTTGTCAGTGGCATTTAATGGACACCATTCAGCAGGTAGCCAGTGTACAATATCAAAAGCAGATGATGTAATTTCTTTAATGTGTCATTCCACTTTAAGCTAATAAATAATTTATCGTTTCCCATATTCATAGAATGTATTAAACGCTCATATTTATTCTGCAGAGATTACTCTACCACACATTTATAGAAGGAAGGTGGGAGGCCTGTGTGGAAACTTTGATGCTCAGAGAAAAAATGACAGGATGAAGCCAGATGGTACCATAGCCAGAAGCACTCAAGAGTTTGGAGAGAGCTGGAGAGTGTGAATGCCAGATGAAACACTGTCTTTGAATGTGGATGAGTTTAATCTCTATCAGTTACATAAAACTCCATATGGATAAAAAAGAACAGATGAGTGTAATGATTTTGGCTTTTCTTCGTTAGCCAGCAAGTGTTGTCTTTACCTAGCTTTTTAGGGCTATGTTTTCTGAATATCAGCATATCTATTTTTTCATGAATGTTTAGATACTTATCTTTTTCTTATTATTTCTACATATATTTGATATAATCGTTGTACTCTACATGTAAATTGAGCTATTATTCTCATTGGATAATATAAAAATTTTTAAAAGTATGTGGTGAATGATCACATTTCATAAGGTGTTTTTGACTTCCTGCATTGTTGAAGGTTTCTGATGAACTTACTACTCTAATAAAACTGGACTGTAAGGACATTTGTGTTTCTTTGTGTGCAGCCATTTGGTCCCAAGTTTAGCTACAGCAGCATACACGTGTACATTTTTAAGGTACAACCCATTAACCACCTGCAGTACAGCAGGAACACCAACCCAAACGAAGGAAAAACAAATAACACAAAACCTGTAACATGATACGGATAAGGAAGGTAATTGTTTTTTTTCTAGCAAACAATAGGACTGTTCTTGCTTGAAAAGCTCGTCTGTATCTGTATGAGGGCATGTTTATGTGGAATCCTTACTCTCAAGTGTTGCAACACCACATAGAGCCATGGATGTGTTTGTTCTGTGCATTTTTCTTTTCTTAAGGTTTCTCTGTGATGGTAAGTGAAGCTATGCCTACTGGCTACTATTTAACAGTTTCAAAAAGTTATGGCACAATTATTTCATACTACAAAAATGTATTTGAGACATTACATATACTTTCAAACTGCTGTTTTAACAAGAGTAGAACCTACTTTTAGATCCTTTAGATTTTTTTAATTAGTTGATGTGTTTTCAGGTGGATCCTCTTTAATGTTACTGATAGTTTGAGTTCATGACCCTGGATATATAGGTGAATGCATGGTCAATAATTCTGGTATTGTTGGATTTCACTTAAGTAGCTAACAAAAACAGCAAGCAAACTATTCTAACTAGTAAAGATTAGACTGAGTTTGTAAGCATTAACACTACTAGTTTTATGGTTTGGAGCTTGAGGCTGCTATTAGTGACAGATGATGAAATTTACTTCCCTGTGCTGAGCCTCCTTTAGCTGGTTCTAGTGCTCGAATACATATCTCAGGAATGGACTGAGTAGATCTGAATTTCTAAATATTTATCATGGTGCTTGAGCTGATGCTGATGCTAAGGCCATTATGCTACAGTCTGGCAATGTACAGATGCAGAAGAACCTTCAAACTGGCAGGAAAGTAATATCATTACTATGTATTTAAGTCCTTGTACTTTTGGTACCTGTTTGGCAAGAAAAATTAAGTCATAACTGTATGTTAAGAATATGTATTTAAAATTTAACATGTTTCTTTAATATAAATGTGTTTTTATATTGTTGTCATTGTCTTTCCATTTTTCTAGCCCAAATACCAGCTCCAACTACTAAACCAACAGGTAATACCCACAACAATCTTTGTACAATTAGCCATTGTGTTCAGTGCGACAGACGCTGCCTATATCTAAACCCCACAATAATGGATTTGATTTTTGTCACCTACTGAAGCTACAAGTACACTCACAAGCCACTTTGTTAGGCACACCAGGTAGACATGGCGAAAGCTCAAAGAAAGCAAGAAGACATGGAGACATGGTGACAAAGCTCAAACCAAGTATCAGAATAGGGAAGAAAGGAGATTTAAGTGACTTAAGTGACTTTGATTGTGACATTGTTGTTGGTGCAGACAGACTGTCTGAGTATTTTAAGAAACTGCTGATCTATTGGAATTTTCCTATACAAACATCTCTACATTTACAGGGAATATTCCAGGATAAAAGAAAATACCCAATGAAAATATCCAGTGAAACTGTTCAAGGGATTTTTGCTCAGTTCTCTGGGTGAAAATACCATGTTGATGCCCAAGGTGAAATGAGAATGGCCAGACTGCATTGAGCTGATGCTAAGGCAACAGCAAATCAAATAAAACATTCATTAGAGCCAAGGTGTGAAGAACATCATCTCTGAATGCACAAAAATATGTTGGTTACAGAAGTGGAAGACCCCACCAAGTGCTGTTCCTCTCAGCTAAAAACAGAAAACTGGCTCTATGATTCAGAGGCTCACCAAAATTAGACAAAAGAAGATTAGATGTCTGGTCCCATTTCTACTGTGACATTTAGACATAGGCAAAATGAAAGCATGATTCCATCTGGCCTTGTATGAACTGATCAGGCTGCTGCACAGGCTACCTGAGTACTGTCCATGTCTTTATGACCATATCTTGGTGGCTGCTTCCAGCAGGATAACATTCCATGTCCCAAAGCTCACATCAACTGGTTTCTTGAACGTGACAATCAGTTTATTATACTCAAATAGCCTCCACAGTCACCACCTGTCAATCTAATGTGGAACTAATGAAGTTTTTTCACCGCTCTCATTCCATTTAGTGATCCTTGCTTACTCCTGAACCCTAACCACCTTGTTGCCTGTCCACAAAACATTTCAGAAATTCCTCAATCTGACAATACACAAACAACCAGATTTATTACAGTTGCATTTATTCTGTATTTAATATTATTCATCTTTTTGATTACTGTTTGTGAGATCATTACTTTATATTTTTATACATTACTAGTATATTTCAAAATAGCATGTTGCAAAATTACAAATATGTGCCATGCTGATCATGCAGTTTTATGCCAGAAGCTGTGGTGTGTGTGCTGTTTCCAGACTGTGCAGGTCCACCAGTGCTATGCTGCCCTGGACAAAACTCCAGTTGTTTCAGGGGATGTTACTGTGATCAGATATGTCTGACATTTGGTGACTGCTGCCGTGACTACAGATCAACCTGTACAGAATGTAAGTGAGACTGAACATGCAAAATAGCAAGGTCTGCATTCACAAGTAAGAATTTGTGGATTCAGGGTTGAATATTTATAATGCAACTCTTTCTTCTCTGCTACAGTTCTGACCCAAGTACCAACAAGAAAACAAGCCACTGGAAACAACAATATAATATATACAGATACAAACATCACCACACCAGTGCTCAATGCAGCATCCACACTTAATGTCAGCACAGCCTCAGCATCCACAGTGCCAATATCTACAGCAACCAACCAGACAAGCAGTGATACATCTACACTAGCAATTAAGAAAACATCTTCAGTCATCTCCACTGCAACAGCGGGCACCACCGCTACGCTAGCAGATATCGAAACAACTTCAGTCTTTGATTCTACACCAACCAGCCAAAAAAGCAGCACTACTGCATCTATTCCTTTAGATGACCTCATAGCATCAGTCTCCACTGTTGCAGGTTGGTCATTGTTTGAATGACCCTACAGTATATCATGACAGAAGTTTTCATAACCATTGGTAGGACAAGCACAGGTGGAATTATTAACAGCAGTATATCAGTATATCAAGAAACATACTTTCCTACTATAGAATCCCAAATTATCTCCAATTAAAGATATTTTAAAAGTTGGTTAGTTGTGGTAGCATTTCTTTTTTCTTTCTATTTTTTGTTGCTGTGGATCCATTAAAAAGAAAAAAAACTGCCTATACTAGAAATTTCTAGTATAAGTAGTGGAAAAAACATTTAATTTAACATTTAATTCTTTATCTTTTACATAATTACTTTGATTTAATGTGAAAAGCCATCAGGGGAGTATTTATGACAATTCCACAATTTTGTTGTACGTGTACAATGACAATAAAGACCTATTCGATTCTATCAGTAGGAAATGTTGTAAAACATGAAAATACAGGTAAAAGTCCACAATTTAAGTCCTCCCTCACGTTTTCCAAGGGCATCCAGTGGGTTGGATTGGAATCCTTGCCAGGTCAATTCTGGCAGGTTTGACACACCTGCTTTAAATCATTAGATAGAGTCTTTTAAGAATACAGACTGTTAGACAGCTGTGCAAATCTGGATAACAGGGGTGTTGTATCTTTCCCAGGAAGTGGAAACACTGCTGGCATTTCCAACAAAAACACGGATTCCACAACTGACACAAGCTCAGACAAAGGTACAGTCAATGAAATGTCCATATATCTATTTTAACATTTATATACATCAAAGATCTGCAGTACTTAAATAAGTGTATTTTTATTTGTTTCTTGCTTTAAGATTTCCAAGCAGTGACTTTTCATCTAAAAGCTTCACTTTCATCCTCTGATCGGGATAACAAAGATGTGATCTTAGAGGCTTTATCCAGTGTAAGGAAAAACAATTTCTGAATACAAATCATACAGCCTCAGATGCGGCGTGCCTTTATAATCACTGATAATCTCCTCTCTCACAGTTCCTGTCCAACATCCTTCTCCAGTTGAACTGTGAGCGCTGTGTCCTCAAGGTTCAACACGTCAAACCCACCTGAGAAATGGGATTTGCAGCAGTCACTGCAGGCAGGATACGGCACCAGCTATACTCTGACAATAAACTGCAAAATTCTCAACAACAAATTAATTTTTTGAAATTACATAAGATTCAAGATATCAGAGGCTTGAAAGTCGATGCTTCAAGGTTAATAGCATGGGCTTTTCAGTTTTATAATATTAACAGTCACATTTAACACCAGGTAGTTGAAACGTGTGAGATAGTGCATATCTCACTGCACATGCCATAACTTACAAATACAGTACCATACTATTAAATGTGAATCCCATTAGCTTGTGTGTTGTGTTTGAGATAATAAAAAGCCCCGATCCTGGCAACAGTAAAGATACTGTTTTTGTTACAGGAGGATGCCAAAGATAAACGTTAGCTGCTGTTTAAAAAAAAGATCCAAAGAGCTGGACAGCCTGACTGTATGCTAAAATTAATAGTTATCTAATAAATTAATCATGATCGTCAGAGAGGATTTGAATTACTATTTTTATTTTGATTCTTATCAATTTTGAAATGACTTTGTGGA